ACAAGTACTGCAGTGCAATCTCTTTATCAAGAAAGTGGAACTTACAAATGTACAGTTATGTACAAAAACAACTGCATTCAAAAATAAAACCATGTAAAACTTTAGAGCCTACAAGTCCATTCAGTCCTACTACTTGTTCAGCCAATCGCTCAGACAAGTTTGTTTACATTTGTAGGAGATAATACTGCTTGCTTCTTGTTTACGTCACCTGAAAGTGAGAATAGGCATTTGCATGGCACTGTTGTAGCCGGCGTTGCAAGACATTTATATGCCATATACGCTACAGATTCGTATGCCCCTGCATGCTTTGGCCACCATTCCAGAGGACGTGTATCCATGCTGATAATGGGTTCTGCTCAATAACGATCCAAAGCTGTGTAGACCAACGCATGTTCATTTTCATCATCTGAGTCAGATGTCACCAGCAGAAGGTTGATTTTCTTTTTTGGTGGTTCAGGTTCTGTAGTTTCTACATCGGAGTGTTGCTCTTTTAAGACTTCTGAAAGCATGCTCCACACCCCGTCCCGCTCAGATTTTGGAAGGCACTTCAGATTCTTAAATCTTGGGTCGAGTGCTGTGGCTATCTTTGGAAATCTCACATTGGTATCTTCTTCCTGTTTTGTCAAATCTGCAGTGAAAGTGTTCTTAAAATGAACAACATGCTGGGTCATCATGTGAGACTGCTATAACATGAAATATATGGCAGAAGTTGGGTAAAACACAGAAGACATACAGGTCTCCCCCAAGGATTTCAGTCACAAATTTAATTAACGCATTTTTTTTTAACGAGCATCATCAGCATGGAGCATGTCCTCTGGAATGGTGGCCAAAGCATGAAGGGGCATATGAATCTTTAGCATGTCTGGCACTTATATACCTTGCAATGCCAGCTACAAAAATGCCATGCAAACATCTGTTCTCACTTTCAGGTGATATTGCAAATAGGAAGTGGGCAGCATTATCTCCCGTAAATGTAAACAAATTTTTCTCTCTTAGCAATTGGCTGCACAAGAATTAGGACTGAGTAGACTTGTAGGCTCTAAAGTTCTACATTGCTTTGTTTTTGAGTGCAGTTATGTAACAAAAAACAAAAAATCTACATTTGTAAGTTGCGCTTTCACGATAAAGAGATTGCTTTGGTACTTGTATGAGATAAACTGAAAAATACTATTTCTTTTATCATTTTTATAGTGTGAATAATTGTAATAAAAATAATATAAAGTGAGCACTATACACTTTGTATTCTGTGTTGTAACTGAAATCAATATACATGAAAATGTAGAAAAACATCCAAAATATTTAATAAATTTCAATTGGTATTCTATTGTTTAACAGTGTGATTAAAACTGCGATTAATCGCGATTAATTTTTTTTGAGTTAATTTTGTGAGTTAACTGCGATTAATCAACAGCCCTATTTATAATACAACTTCTGTATTAGACAGGCATGTCTGGAACTGTATATTTTCATCACAGACACAAATCTCTCATTAACTAAAATATTAGTGCATAAATCTCTCGATACCCATTACAGAAAAATGTATTTCATTTTATTTCAGTATCACTCCATGCCACCCATGCTTCCCAGAATATACTCTGATTAAGGGACTTTCAAGTCACTGCTTGAATTTAAAAAACAGTAGAATATACCCACCTGGATTTCCTTGATGGAATAAGTTCTCCCTCTCACCCCACCAGGGCCGGCTCCAGGCACCAGCTTGTCAAGCAGGTGCTTGGGGCGGCCACTCTGGAGAGGGGCGGCACATCCAGCTATTCGGTGGCAATCCGGCGGACGGTCCCTCACTCTGGCTCGGAGCGAAGGACCTTCTGCCGAATTGCCTCCGCAGATCGCGATTGCGACTTTTTTTTTTTTTTGGGGGGGGCTGCTTGGGGTGGCCAAAACCCTGGAGCCGGCCTTGTACCCCACCTTCTTTGACAAAAGCAAGATTAGCCCATATCTTCCTATCTCTTCTCAGTTCCACATCAGAAAGCAGAATAAAACTGATGGAGAGAAGCACAATGCAAATAGATATCTAATACTCCTGGGGTAATTCTGCACCACTGCACAATGTAGAATTTTACAGAAATTAATTGTGCAGAGATGTTGGCTGCCACTAGGGACCGCTGTACCTGGCAGAGCCCAGCTTGCAGACAGAAGACAAGGGTGGGCGGGGAGGGAACTGGAGGGTTCCCAGCAGCTGCAGTTTTCAGCACACCCTGAAGAAAGGAGGGCAGCAGCATATGGGAAATGCCGTGCAAGTCCAGGACCCAGCATCAGGCTGTTTCTCCCTCTGTATCCCTGAACTCTAGGAGTGTAGGGGGTGAGAGTGTCTGGGCTGGAGGTGGAGGCCCTGCAGCTGATCTCGAGGGGGGGGGGGGAAGAGGTATAGGGTGAGCGTGTCTGGGCTGGGGGACCCCCCACAGCTGGGCTCTGGAAGGGTAGGGGGTGAGACTATCT